AAAGGCTAGTTGGGGCAAAGGCCTGGATGTTTTCCTTGGGGAGGAGGTTCGCACTACAAATAGAAATGCAACGCACGCTCCAGAAAAGGCCAGAGAATTGGAAGTGCAACTCTTGCGGCGAGGCTGCAGGCCTGCTTGCTTCTGCTGCCCCTGCAGAGGCTGGACCTGTTCTGTTTTGGAGAAGGTGGGCAGGGGTGACGCCTGCCTGGCGGGCCTCTGGCCTTTGAGAGGGCAGAGGGGGGTGGGGATGGCCCGGAAGGAGTGGGCACGCAGAGCAGGAGCCCGCGCTGCCCCCGGTGGCGAGCCAGGCTTTCGTGGGAGCCCCTGTCTCTTAGAGCCTCCGCCGGACGGCTGCGGGGCCCTGACCCCCACCGGCCTTTGTTCGTTTCTGCGCGGCTGATCTGATGGCCTCATCCACCTCCTTCCCAGAAAGCATGGGCTGGGCTGCCAAGGGGCCCGACCCGGCCCGCGGCCTCCCCCGGGCTCAGCCCCGCGCCGCCGGGTCCAGCGCAAGGGCGCCTGGCGGGATGGTTCAGCAAGGCTACGGGGATCCCGGCGGCCGAACACCCCCTTCCTCTCCGCAAGGGAGGGCGCAGAGGGGGCGCCCACCGTGGCCCACTGTAGCGTGCTTTGGGGTGGGGGAGATGCGGCTTTCCCAGGGCCGCTTTCAAGACCCAGAAAGGCGCTGGCCGCGAGCGCTCCGCGAATCGAAAGGCCCGGAGGGGGTGGGCGCCCGGAGAGGGACTCGGGCCATCGCCTCTAGAGGGCGCGCGCGGCCCGCGGACTTCGAGCCTCTGGCTCTTCGGACGCGCAGGGGACATTCCCCACCTCGGGCTCCTAGCTGCCCCGGGGAACCGAATGGCTCGACCCCCACCCCGACGGCTCCCAGAAGCCCCTGGCAGCCTCCATTTCCGAAGTGTCCGGAAGAAAGCCCCGGCCCCAACCCACAGCCTCTTCCCCGTGTCCAGGCCCCCAAGGCTGGACGCCGTGGAGCGCCGCCAAACACTGAGCAGCTCCCATCTCAGACTCCAGCTGGATCCGAGGCCCCCTCCGGGCCTGGAGGAGTTTTTGGTGAGAGGAGAAAGTTAGAGCACGAGCCCCCAAAGCGCTGGATGCCGGCCTTCTCGCCGTCGGGTCTCCCGCTCACAGCACAGGGCCTCCCCTGGGATCGGTGCGTCGCAAGCGTCAAAGGGACAGAAAAGTGGATTCGATCCGCCGCGCTTCAAAGAGCCATAAAGATTCCAGTCCAACCAGCGCCGGCCAGAGGAGCCGACCCTGCCCTAGGACAGAGGCGGCCCTGCGGGCGGAGGCCCCCGCTCCTGGTCACTCTCCTGGAGAACCTGCCCAGGGAACGGATACCGCGCAAGGAGCTCCCGGTCAAAGCCGGGGTTGATGGTGGCCAGCCAGGCGGGAAAAGGGGGCAGAGTCGGCGCCTCTCATCTTCCTAAACACGAGTCCTCTCCGCTGCCCAAACACCCGGGAGAGGTCGCTTGAGGGAGTCCCGATCGAGCAGCCGGGCCACCGCTCAGGGGCGAGCGCCCCTGGCGCCCCTCGCCAGGCCACCCCACTCCATCCCCGCCCCGACTCCGCCCGCTGCGGGCGCAGGCCCCTCAAGTCCGAAGGGCACTCAATGCCCCATGACCCGCTGCCCCAGCCCCGGCGCCAGTCGCTCCCTCCCTCCCCGATCCTCCCACTCGGCTCTCAGAACTGGGGAAAGAGGCGCGGAGAGCACCGCCAAGGGCGGGGTTCCCAACCGGCTGGCCGAAGACCGGAGCTGTGCGGGCGAACGCGTCCCCACGCCTCTCCCTTCGCGCTCTGCGAGTGCGCCTAGGTCAGGGCTTCTCTGCGTGACACGGTCCGCGGGGGGGCTACAGGGGTGGGACTGGGACAAGCCATGGCCCCCTTGGGGTCCGGAAGGCGGTTCTCCCATGCCGCCCCACGTCAGCGCCCTGCAAAGTCTTCGCCCGGGAGGGCCAAGAACCCCTCTCCCCACCCTGCGCTCTGCTCTTCCCGGACCGCGCCTCGCCCGGCGTTGGGGCTCCTACACCCCAAGAAGACCGGGGACGGAGAGGCTGGCGGGGGGCGGGGGGCGCGGGGCTGCGCGGCGGCCGCGCCAGGTTCACTAATCACATCAGCGTGCTCTGCGCCGGCTCCGAGCAGCCAGTTGCCTAGCAATACCCGCGAATTCAATTCCTCAATCAATAGGCGCGAGGCGCTGCATTTCGGGGAGCGCTGGCGAGGCTGGGTGGGTCTGGGGGGCGGGTCCCGCGACAGCACCAGAAAGCAGGCCTGGAACCGCCGGGCGCACATCTGTGGGGCGCCCGGGCCTCGGGGACCAGCGCCGTCGGGCCTAGGGGTGGGGCGCGCGCGGGGGGGTGGAGCCCCGCCAGAAGAAAGGGGACCCTAAAGGTCGTGCCCATCCTCCTGGTGTCCCCGAGTTCTGCCTGGGTCCCAGAAAATTGCAGCCCGTAGGTGAGGAAAGCCACGACCTCCCCCCTGGAGGCTAAGGAGAGTCATGGCCCACTCCCTCCGGATCCCACCTCTCCCCCCTCCCCTAGTTGGAAAGTTCCCCCAGTTGGGGACGGGCCTTTACTGGAGGAATCCTTCGGGGCCGATGGGGGCAAGGGTGGGGGTGGGTGGGATGAGACAGGAAGAAAGGGTCCTCTCTCCCCAGGCTAGTCTTCCCTCTGCTCCAGTGGGGAGGGGGGAGGGGAAGGAATAAAACCGAGACATGTCTCTATTTACAAAGTATATATTTAAACACGTAGAAAGCGGTATTGGATACAGACATTCACGACCGCAGAAGATAGGTACCGAAGCTTCACTCTTGAGCTGAGGCGGGGATCGATTCTAGATTTGTACAAATCTTAGAATTAAATCAACTCAACACACGCACATCCCGCGCGGTTGCAGACTCCCAGCCACGCGGCCCTGGCCCCTGCCCACCCCCACCCCCCAGGTCAGCGTCGCAAGAGCGAGCGGAAAAGACACACACGCATGGCCACGGACAGACGGCGGACAGAGGGGAGGCAGGGGCAGAAGCAGGCTGGCCCCGGAACGTCGGAAGGAAGAGTCAGAGTCAGCCCCGAGGGAGGGAGATGGGAGCCAAGGGAGGAAGGGAGAAAGGAAGGCGGCAGCCAGGTAGACACGTGTCCCCGAGTTACCGTCCACTGGGTAACAGACATGTCTCTTCAATGAAGCTTCATCTGAAAATAGCGTCCACATTTTAGCAGATACACTTGGTCAACGGCGCTTCTTTATACAAAGTCTAAAATACCAGTTTTACAAATGTGAGCAGATAAAAATCCCCATTCCAGGGGCTTCTCTTTATAGGCGCAATTTGATACTCAAAAACAAATAAAATCATGTAGTACACCGTCTTCCTCTTTTTTTTTTTTTTTTTTACCCCCTCTCTTTAAAGGCAAGAAAGTCTCGAGGCAAAGAGGGAGGCGGGGAGGCGGGGAGTGCGGAGGAGGACAAGGCTGGAGTTGCCACCCTGTATCCCCATCCAGAAGCTCCCCCCCAGCCCCGGCCCCCCCGCCTCGCTCGCCCCGAGTCTGTGCTTCCTCCCGCGCGCAGGACCCCCACGCCCTCCCTAGACAAGCAGTGGGCAGTCGAATCTTCCTAGCCCTCTAAGGGCGGGGGAGGCCGGGGAGGCCAAAGGATCAGCCCTCGAAGAGAAGGACGTGTGTGTGTGGGGGGGGGGGACAGATTTGTGCTTTCGAGTCGAAAGAGGGGCGCGCGTTCTGCATCCCTGGAGCACACGGGGGCGCCCCGGGCCCCGCCGCCGCGCACGGCCTCCCCCGCCGCGGCCGTCTCTTTTCAACCCCGGCTCCTCCCGCCCCCTTTGGCGGAGTTTGAATGTCGAGTTCAAATAGAGAACACTCCGCGAATCGAAAAGGCCTATAAATTATAGCTTTTGCTTTTAAGAAGAGGGTGGGGGGGGGAGGAAAAAGCAAAAGTTTCTGATGCGCATTCTTGGATGAAAACCTCGCCTCGCCCCTCCTTCCCCTCGCCCGCCGGGGCCGCCGGGGATGCGAGTCCCGCCCGGCCCCGAGCCCCGAGGCCCGAGCCTCCGCCGCACTCCCGGCCAGGCCTCGGCCCGGAGCCCCCGCTCCCAGCCGCGCCCGCCGCCGCGCCTCCCTCCGTGGGTCCCGCAGGGTGGGCCTGTCTGGCCGTGCGTCCATTCGAGAGCCGGCGGCCCGCCCTCCCCGAGGGAGGCAGGCTAGTCCAACTCTTCCTGGGAGGTGGGGGCCACCGTCTCTTCTGGCGAGGCTAGAGGACGCGAAAAGGAAAAAGTCCACCCCCAAACACTTCTCCTGTAAAGCGACTGTCTCGAACTCTGGGCACTGACATGCAATCCTCCCAATTTATCCTGGCATTTCGGGAATGTAAACAGATTCGCTGGATTTCTTTTCTTTCTGTGGAGTAAGGAAAGGAATCGAGGGAACTGGGAGATTTTATCCACATGACATACACACGATCGGATCGGCGTGTATCCCACACAAGTTATCTCCCGTAAAGTGCATTTCCTGATGTGGTCCTGGGGGGAATCTGCTGCTCCCCACCCACCTGCAACTTTTTACCTTCAACATCACACACAAAAGTTATTCAAGTGAATACTGCCCCCCCCCCGCCCCCCGCCAACAGACTTCTTAATCTTAAAAAAAAAAAAAAAAAAAAGGCCAAACACACTGACCCCACCCCCTTTTTTTCTGATTGGGGAGCCAATCTTTTGTTGGCCTAGTGGGCCAATGGGAAGAGAGAAAAAATCCGGGTCCTGCCTTGGTTCCAGGGGTCTGCCAAGGGGCTGTGGGAAAAGGGAGGAGGGGTCAAGTGGGTAGGCTGAGTCCCTCCAGACACCATCAGAGAAGTCCAGTACCCAGGTCCCCAACCTCCTTAGTGCCCTGGGTGGCTGAGGGGCGGCGACTCAGCCCGTCTGCCCCAACTAAACCACACTGAGTCTCTCTCTCTCTCCTTATTTAAATAAAACAACTTCAAGAGTTGAAATATATATATTTAGATATTTTGTCTTAAATAACATATTTACATCTAATAGAAAATATAACTCTAGAGATAATCTTTCCAACCAAAACTGAGGGGAGGGAGGAGGAATGGAAAGGGTTGGGTGTGTGAAGTTAGGGACAGGACCAGCCAGAAGGCCGCCTCCCACCCAGAAATAAAAAGCATTATGCCAAGTTTGCGCTCCCACTCTCTCTCCTGCTCTCTCGTCCTGGGATCACCCACCAATTCATCTTTTCTCTTTAAAAAAGCCTTGGTCCGTGTTACTTTCCTTAATGGTGACGGTCAAAAAGTTTGAGGTCACGTCGGTGACCACCACCTTCTCCAGGTTGGTCAGAGAGGGACTCCAGGACTCTTCCTCTGGGTCCCCCAGGATTCTGGCCACTGGGATCCTGGCGATGAGAGACGGCCTTCCCCCCTGGGCCCCCATGTCCCGATACAAGCCCCCCACAGAGCCAGGGGTGCCTGAGCCATGCCGGACCCGGGGGCCACCTGGGTCCAGGGTGCCCTGGCCTCTGGCCTCCAGGAAGGTGGCCCTGTGCTTTATGACCCTGGCCGGAAAGGTGTCCACAGCCAGCTTGCCTGTGGCCTCCGCCGGGCTGGGGCTGGCCACACCGCACTGGGCCAGGTCCGAGTCCTGCCTCCGGGCCAGCTGGATCACGCTGTGGCCAGCTGGGAACTTTCCTGCCCCGGAAGGGGCCTCCTCCAGCTTCCTGCCCTTGAGGTAATCTCCGAGGCCATCACTGGCTTCTCCCAAGGGCCTCTGCGAGGGGTCCAGGAGCTCCTTCCGGGGCTTGGGGCCTCGCTTCTTCGAGCCGTCTCCCGGTGAGCTGGGTTTGTCATCGGTGCGGCTGGCACCCCGCTCCCGCTCCCGCTCCCGCTCTCGGTCCCGCTCGCGCTCGCGCTCCCGCTCTCGGTCCCGGTCCCGCGGGGGCTCCACCCGGCAGGTGCTGCCAGTGCCGCTGCTGCTTCCTGGCGGGGACAGACCCATGTTCCGAAGGCCCTCACGGGCTCGGGAAGTAGAGGCCAGGTCCTGGGGGGAGCGGCCAGGGTAGGGGATCCGGATGCCCCGGGCTGAGTCGCTTCGGAACTCGTAGGTTTTGGCCTTTGCCTTGGCCTGGGCCTGCAGGAGAGAAGGCATGTCAAAAGCAGAGCAGGGCCCCCTGCCCACTCCCCCCCACCCCTCTTCCAGCGGGGGCCTCCCCGCTTCACCCTCTGATGCCTCGGGATTTCTATATGGGTGGGGGTGGGGCTTAAGGGCAGCAGTCTGGGGGAAGTGGTAGAGAGTTTGTCTGGATGGAAGCAGCCATTTGCAGCAAGCACACCTCTTGCTGGTATTGGACTGTGTGTCTATTTGGGATGGTGCGGGCATAATCCTAGGGTGGCTAAGCCCCTTTCCCCAAGACACCCCTTGGTGCTGCCACTGACCTGGTGACAGCCCGTCTGGGGACTCCTTCCTACATCATAAATGAGCAACATGCGTGGACACCCCAAAGGTCCATAAGCCCTCAGGGCCCCCTTCCCAAAAATCTCACACTACAACATTGCTTCCCGCCAATGGGCGCTGCCATCTCACCTTGAGGAGGAAGGTTTTGGGTTTGGGTCCTCGCTTTTTGGGGCCATAGAGCTCCATCTCCCGTTCCCTAGAGACAGGAAGGAAAGAGAAAGGGGGTGTGTGAGTAAAGAATCTAGTGGGACTCCAGTCCAGGCTGGACCCCTGTCCCTAAGTCAGAGTCTGAGGCTTGGAAGGGCCTGTACCTCTCCTCAAAGGCTGCGAGCAGGCGAGCATCCAGGATGTTTTCTTCGGGTTCCCATGTGCTGTACCTAGAGGAAATCAGGAAGAAGTGGGCGTCAGTCCCGGGAACAGGGACAGAGCGGCGGGTGTGTGTGTGTGTGTGTGTGTGTCTCTAACTTTTCTTGTTGCATTGTGTTGTATTTCAACGTAAAGGGAAAAAGAGGAAGAAAGAAACCTCCCGAACAACAGTCTGGGGTTGAGAATTGCATATAACCTACTTACTTCTGCGACCAGCCCTTCCATTTCACGAGGTATTCCATGCGTCCCTGCGGATGCAAAGGGGAAAATGTGTGTGCAAGGGGAGAAATGCATGACGAGGACACAAGAAATACATGCAAAAAATGCATGCACCAAATGAATGCGCGAAATCCCATCGCGAAAGGCACGCGCTCGCTGCATCACCCCCTGCACGAAACGCTGCACAAAGTGCATGCACCGGCATTCATCCCCCCACCCCGCCCCCCACCCATGCAATCTGTGCATCGCTGCAAGTCTAAGGAAAGCGCTTGGGCTCAGAGCCGCCGCCACCGCCGCCACGGCCGCGGCCGCTGCTGGGACCTGGGGGAAGGGAAGCTGGGCTGCAGCAGGGGGAGGGAACCCAGGCCGGGAGGGGAGGGCTCGGCCAGCCTCGGTCCGAGGCCCACGGAGGTACCTACTTTCCGTATGCGCCGCTTCAGGAGGGCTTCGGCCGCGAACACCCGCTCCCCCACCGCTGAAAGCTCCATGTTGACTCGCCGCTTCCCCCCTTGGCCGCTTCCAGGAGCAGAAAAGCAGCAGCCAGCCCACGACAGACCATAATACTCTCCCGCTGACGTCAGTTCTCCTCCCCCTCCCGCGCGCCCGCTCCCTCCCCGCCCCCCTCCCGCCCGCCCGCTCCCTCCTCCCCTCCCGCCCCGCGCTTCCTCCGGCCCCACGTGTTGCTAACGACGTTGCTAAAGCGGAGCGGCTGGGGCCTGAGCCCCTGCGCGCTGATTGGGCGAGCTCCGGGCCACGCCCCTCTCCCTTTCTCCCCCGCGTTGCTACGTGACCCGCGTTCCAATCGCCAGGGGGCGGAGTCCGAGGCTACTCCAGAGACAGAGCGCGAGGGGGTGGGGGCCGCCGCCGGAAGTGACATAGCGGGGAGGGCGGGCCCGGCCGCTGTCAGTCTGCGGGGCTGGTGAGGGGGCTGTCCACCCTCTGTCCTCGCCGGGGTCCCCTCCGCCGCCACCAAGTTGTCCCTCCGGTGCTCAGCGTCCCCCAGGGCTCTCGCTGGGACCCCCGAGGTGGTGTCAGCCACGCCCCGCCCCCTCGGCAGACCCCGACCGCCCCACCCCCACCGCCCGGACTCGCGCCCTCCCCTCCCCCCCCAGCCGCCGCCCGTGCCGCACAATGCACAATGCACAGGTGCTGGGGCGCCGCGGGCCGCACCGGTACCCCGAAAGCCGGCCTCGCGCCCCGGACCCGCTCCCCTCTTGACACCCTCCCCCCTTCCGCACACCCGACCCTCGGTCTCCATGACAACGGCCTCCCCCGCCGCCGTCAGCCCCATCCCGCTAACAAATCAATGTGCCTGTGTCTCTGTCTCCTGTCGCGCAGCCCTGCCCTCGGCCACCCTCCGGGCCCTGCGAGGCGAGCTGGGCTCGAGCGCTCGCTCCTAGCTCGGAAGCCGAACGCAGACCTAGCGGGCACCCTCTGTTCCTGTCGAGCCTTCCCGCGCCCCAGAACCCCGCGGGGGACGTCGCGCGCCTTCTTCCAGCCCCCGGACCTGTCCCCGACGTCCGCAGCCACCTGCCCCTGCCGCCAGTCCGTGCTGCTCGTCCCCGCCAGGCCACGGCACCGCGCGTCGCCAGCCCCGACCCCTTGCCGGGGGTCTCGGTGTGTTGGGGGAGGGCGTGGGCGACCACCAAGGCAGAGCCTGGAGCTTGGCTGGGGTTGGGACGAGTGGCTGTGGGGGCATCCCGCTCCCCGCGGACCCGGGCGCCCTGCGGGGCCTGTGCCGTGCACTTCCTTTCCACGGCTCTTCCCGACGTGAGCAACAGACACTCGGCCAGAGAACCACGAGCGGGAAGTGGCGGGGGGCATCGCGGGGTCCAGTGCTGCTTGAGGGACAGGGGCTCACAGGCGAAGATAGGTCCAGGAACGGGGGCGAGGGCCGGGCCACGGATACCTTGCGTGCGCACACACGCACTCACAGACGCTTTTGCTCAGCTCGCGGTGACCCGTGGCTGGGGCGGCGTCGGTGACAGCCCAAGTCCGGGCCCAGCTCTCCCCGACCCTTTTCTCTTACCGCCCAAGCTGCAAGTCACAGCACCCACTCCTTGGAACCCACGATTTAGTTAAAACATCGGTAATAAACTTGACTGGAAGCGATTTCCCTTGGCGAGGAATAGGGTGGGAGAATAGGGGGGAAGAGAGAGAGAGAGAGAAAAGCGAGCCAAGGAGTCTGACTCGAAAGGGCAGGAAGCCCAGAGCGGAAAACTGGCCTTCGGTCCAAAGTTAGGTGCGCGCCGGGCGCCGGGCGCCGGGCGCGGCGCGGTCCCGGGCGCGCGGGACAGGCGCGGCTCCGAGCCCACCTTCCCTCCCACTCCCCGCCCCCGCCCCTGGAAAAGCGGGGTTCCAGGTTTTGGCCTTGCTCCCAAACTTTACAAGGTGGGCGCTGGGTGAACATTCTCATCCCTGGCCGTTCTGTCTTAACGAACAGCGAGTTGGCGACGGCCAGATCGCCCAGCCGACCCGCGCGGGCCGCCCGCGAGAGGCCGCCGACGGCCGCGTCCTTAATCATAAAAAGTCATTCCCGGTAACAAATAGTTTCGTTGGCCGGTGCTAGCGATACAGCTGTTTCTGTTTAAGCTTAAATACTTTCCAACAGTTTGGGCAGTAAAAATAAAGTCGGCCTCAGCAGCCTATAAGTGTCTGGTTTCCCCGCCCAGAGAAAGCCCACCCTGCGCCCTGGGCCCGGGCCGCTCTGCACGCCCCGCCTGTCCCCTTTTGGAATCCACTGGCCGCGTGGGCGACGTTGCCGGACTGCCCCAGCCCCGCACCAGCCGCCGGAGGAGGATCGAGGGCCACCTTGGAGGCCTGCGGGAGGGAGCCTACGCGGCCAGCCGGAGGACCAGACCCGCTTCGCCTCCCGCCCTCCCCCCACCCCTCGCAGGCTGTCTGCGCCCGCAATGAGTGGCGGTTTCCCTTCAGATAGGGTTTCTGGAGCCCTGTCCCCGGGAGTTGTGTTTGCGTTGGGTGCCTTCACAGACCCGGAGTTTGCACGAGGCGTGCAGAGGTCGATGGTTTCAGTTTCACGCTGGAAAAGTTAGCGTTCCTCCTCCCTCCCAGGGTTTCTCTTCTTTCCTTCTTTATTCTTTTCCTTCCTTACTCCCTTCCTTCCTCTCCTCCCTTCCTTCCTTCCTTGCCTTCCTGCTTTCCTTTCTCCCTCCTTCTCTCCCTTTTCCTTCCTCCCCCTCCCCCCTTTTCCTTCTTTGCCTACATGCCTTGGGAGTTTGAAGTGGGGAAATGCAAACCCTGGTGTGGCTATGCACAGTCCCCTCCTCTGGAGGGGTACCGAGAAATGTTCCCCTTGCTTTCTTGCTGCACCTTTCTGCCTTTCTTTATGCCTGGTAGTGAAAACTCTTGTTCGGAACAAACTTATCGCTTGTGAGGTGTCTGGATTTGCAAACATCGGGGATTGTTCCTGCAGAGCCCACAGCAAAGATAGAACTCAGTCCAGAAGGGAACAAGAGGTATAGTATAATCTGAGATCAGACTGAGCCCCGTTCTTCTCAGCAGCAGACTCAGTCTTGCCCGCCGACCAAAGCAAACCTCCAAGGTGGGGGTGTTACCCCTGCTTGGCACCCGCCACCAGCTGTCCCAGATAGAGCAGGGTTACAGAGAGTGGGAAAACGGGTCACTGAGAGACCTCAGCTCGGGGAAGGTTTGAAGACTGAGAGGTAGCAGTCTGAGAAATAGGCTTGTAGTGGGGCAGGACCCAGAGCTGGGGCCTCCCTGGTGGGCATCGAGGATGCCTGAACGTGCCAGGAGAGGGCGCTAGCCCCCGGGGAGGGGGGAGGCGTCATTCCCGCAGAGTGGGCAAGGGTTCTTTCAAATTTGTCAGCTGGTGCCACAGTCTTAGAAACCAGGAGAAGATGGAACCCGCTCCCCACTTTCTTACTGAATTATTCAACTTTTGCCACCTCCCTTCTTTCTTCCACACAACTGCTTTTCTCTTTCAAAGTTAGTTAATTGCTTTTCCCATGTGCACCCCTGGGAGTAAACAAAACAAAGTTTCAAAGAACAAGAATCCTCTGCTTTTAATCCCACTGCTCCGCGCCCTAGGCTGCGGTTGTCAGGTTGGAGTGCGCAGCCTCTGCAGTAAATAAGGTAACTGCTTCCTATTACTTTAGCCCCATATGGCTGCAATTTGAGTGTCTTTGGAGACAGTGCTTGTGTTGGGGCGGGGGGCAAGGGGGAGTGAAAGTGGAAATCAAATGCTCTCAGATCGCATTTTTATGAAGGAAATTGTGGGCGATTCTCTTAGCAGCCTTCCCTCCACTCCTAGTTCCTGAGATGAGCTGCCCTGTTTCTTTGTTTACGGAAACACAGGCGCCCGCCCACCTCGGGGCACCTGCTTACCCAAACCCTGGGTCTCTTGCCCAATTCTGCACTCGTTTTGGTGACCTGGGCACACAGCCCTGATGTCTCTTCCCGACAAAGGACCTCTAACCTGCTCCCCACACCTGAGAGCCAGCTGAGCCCTGCGCCCCAGTCTCTGGACGGTGCTCCCGCCCTGCGCTCCATGTCCCGGTCTCATTTGAGCCTGGAGGCCACCCTAGGGCTAGGGAACCTCTTAGGCCTCCCTGTGCCCGCTGCCAACGGACTCAGCACCCGGGGAGGGAGGCCGGAGCCTGGCGGGGTCCGAGGGGAAGGAAGGGGAGGGGCAGGCTGGGCAAGGCGCTTGGCTGCTGGGTCACCGGCCAGACCAGCAAGCCCGTGCGCGTCCTCTAGCTGGAGGGTGAGGCCGGGCCTCAGCTCGCTCACTGGGGGCGTTTCAACTCCGCAGCTTGGCGGGCGTCGGACCTGCCTGGTCTTGGCCACGACGCGGGCGGATTTGGAACCCAATCGTTCCCTTCGGGAGCAATGGTGGGGCCGGCTGTGAAGCGAGCACAGGTGGCTCTGAAGCGTGGCCGAGTGGGATGTGGCCTCATGTGCGGGAACAGGGGCCGGTGGCTTACTTTCGGTGGCTCCACAACCCGACAGGCGTCCTCAGCCTCTGCCTCCCCCATGCCCAAGCCAGGGC